ATGTAGGCTCTTTTATTCTTCTTATCCTTTTTATTTAGGAATCCACCTTTCTTGGCGAGTTTCGAAAAATTCGTATTTATATGACCTTGCTTACCACATTCATAACATGTGGCATCTGGTGTTGAAGTGAAAGCCTCATTTTTCTTGAAATGTTTCTCTCTTTTTGCATTATTAAAGGATTTATCATTTTTATCAAAGAACTTACCAAGCCTTTTCACAAGAAGCATGGAGTTCTCATCTTCTTTTGGAGCATCATCATCTTGTTCTTCTTATGAATCGACTTTTAAAGCAATGCCTTTGGATTTCTTCTCTTGATTCTCATGCTTTTCAAGTCTTCCAAGTTCAAGTTCACGTTCTTGAAGTCTTACGAACAATGATGCAGACATCATAGTAGAAAGGATTTTCTTTTTTGATATTGTCATCACTTTTGGTTGTCATTCCCTAGTTAAAGATTTAAGCACTTTAAGATTAAGGTCATCATTAGTAAAAGTCTTACCAAGTACAATCAAATGATTTGTCAAGTTTAAAAATCTCTTTTGCAACATGACGATAGTTTCTCCGGGCTGCATTATGAACATTTCATAGTCTTGACTCAAGGTATTCAATCTAGAACTTTTTACTTCAGCGGTTCCTTCATGAGTTTCTACCAATGTATCCCAAATTTCCTTTGTCGATTTACATTGATAGATACAGAAGAATTCATCCATGCTAAGTGCACTTTGAAGTATGTTGATTGCTTTCTTTTCATTAAGGACTTTCTTCTTATCATCTTCATCCCAGAAGCTTTGAACCTTTGGAGTACCGATACAATTACCGACACTGGTTGGTTTATGTGGACCATTTTCGACGGTTTTCCATACTCCTTCTCTTTATGCTTCTAAGTGAGTCTTCGTGTGAATTTTCCATAAATCAAAATATTCACCAGGAAAAAAAATAGGGGATTTGTTGCTACTACCACCATCTTTGAAAACTGGATTTATACCTAAGAGAGAGAGAGAGAGAGAGAGGAAGGGGGGGGGGGGGGGGGAGGTGAATTAGGTACTTAGAAATTTTTCCGGTTTTAGACTTAAGTGGTATAATTTTTCTGTCTGGTATATCCTCTCTAAATGAGTACCAATGAATGAATAGATTCCAAGTTTCGAAAACCAATTTAAAATATTGTTTCTACTAAAAAATATCTGAACCAATGTCATTCCTTCAGTGGTAAGCGGTTACCGTATATGGTGTAACCGGTTACACCTGAAGCAACGTTAAATTTTTTTTTAAATGTGCATGTGTAGCCGGTTACATGAATTAGAGTAACCGATTACACCTTGCATAAGTGGCTAAAGAATACAAGGTCCATATGTGGTAACCGGTTACGTACGTGAGCAGGCAGTGGCAAAAAAATGTTTATGAAAAATTAATATTGGCCAAAGATTAATGCACTATAACTTTTAATGAATTATGACATGATTGAATGAATGTTTTGAGCACTTGACATTATCATAGAGAGGTTGAAAACTTGTACCTTATTATTTCATGATCAATCCAATACAAGCAATCAAAGACTTGAACTTTATCACTTGAAAATTTGACTTTCTCTTGATGTGAGTCTTGAACCATGATTTTTGACATAAACACTTTCTTGTAGATTTGTCTTCATCAAAAAATTACTTGAGAAGCGTGTCTTCACAGATTCTAGATACTTTTGGCAAGATTAGGTCACACAATATCTTGCTGAAGTGGGTTACACCACTAAAGGTAAAATCGAGTGTACTCAACCCTCGTAGAGTTGCAACAATGTCTGTCTCGAAGAAACTTGCCCAAGAGTTTGGGTGTAGATTAGGAGATGAATTTGGTTATGCCATTTGGTTTGGGGATTGCACTGGACCAGATTGTGTAATCACGATATTCTGTTATAATGTTTGACTATTGATGGAATATTTTATGTTATTGATCTGGGGTTCGCTAAGCAAAATGTTTATAACCCGAAGATAGGTCTTGATTCCTTGGTGATAATCCAATATCACAAGCCTCAACCAAACAAAGAGCTGGATGTGTAGGGCGTACTAGGCCTGGAAAGTGTTATTACCTATATACTGAGAGTGCATATAGGAATGAGATGTCGCCTACTTCTGTTCTAGAGATTCAAAGGATAAATATGAGCATGACTTCTCTTAGCATGAAAGCCATGGGCATAAATGATCTTCTATCATTTGATTTTATGGATCCTCCACACCTGAAGCACTTATTTCCGCCATGGAGCAGCTATAGAGTCTTGGATAAACAAGCCCAAGCAGATCAAAAAAAGCGAGATTTTGTCAGCCAAAGGGTGTTAATCTTACTCTACTTGCTGTTTTTTGAATCCTGAAAAAATAAAAAAAAAATTGGACCTTGGTGCTTTGAGAGTTTTGTTCAATCTCGATCGTATCAAATCACTTTATGATCTATATAACGAGCCAAATTCATGGTGTTTGAATAAACGGCGTGCATGATATGCTCTCTCTATTTCAGTTAATGCAAGATTGTGGATACAATTTCTGGTTGAAATGAGCATTAAAGGATTTTGAAGGGTAAAAGTTAAAATGATTTTTTATGATGTTTTAGGTTTAGGAAATTGTGGAATTAGAGTAGGATTTGATATTGGTAAGAGTTAAAATGATTTTTTAATCGATGATGTATAAATAAATAAATAAATACAATTTAAATATAATAAATTAATTAATTAAAGTGAGGAGCATAAAAATTAAAAACTATATATTAAAAAAATATGAATTTAAAAAAAAAAAATATTTAAAAAAAATTAAAAAAAAAAAAAAAAAAAACCCACGTGAAATCTAAACATTGCAAAGAGAAAATAAAAACAAGTGACAGGATAGATAAACTGAAATTCGCTAATATTACTGGAGGTATATTAGTGTTTTACACTCCAAAAATTATAAATATAATAATTTCTTGAATGTCTTTCAACTTTTTTTACAAACTAAAATACATAATATTAGTGTTTTACTCTCCAAAATTTATAAATAAAAGTAAAAGATAAATAAAGTACTATATTGCTTAATATTAAATGGTTAAATAATATTTTTAAATGTAATTTATAACTTTCAAATAGACAAAAAAATGCCTCACATTTTTTCTAAAATATAATTCTTAATTATAATTATAGGTTATATGTTAAAAAATTTAACTAAAAATATAAAATTAAACAACCATTTTTTAGCTTATTATATATAAATATACTACAATATATTAGTAAAATTATAAATAATTAATATTAAAAAAATTACATATAAATTTCCTAATATATATTAGTAACTTATAAATAATTAATATAAAAATAAAATTCAATTGATATAAATCAATTGTATATATTAAATTTATTGGTATAATGAAAGACAATTACACAAAAACAACATTTTCGTATTTTTTTTTATACACGGTTCATCGTCAAATTCAAAAACATATTCAACTATCATACTCATTTCATTCTCAAACTATCAAGACATCACAAATTGAAAAAAATGATGAAAAATTATTCTCAAAAATATTGAAAAAATAAATAGTGAAAGAATAAAAATACATTATATTCGAATGTGCAGCATATATTATTCTTGGAGATGTTGAAGAACTCTAAAACATATTCAGTTATCATGCTCATTTCATTATTAAACTATCAAGACATCGCAAATTGGAGAAAAATGACGAAAAATTATTTTTGAAGATGTTGAAAAATAAAAAAGGAAACAATAGAAATGTCCTACATTCGAATGTGCGACATATTTAATACATAAATTGGAGTAAAATGATGAAAATTATTCTCGAAGATGTTGAAAATATTAAAAAACATAGGAAAATAAAAGAAATTTCCTGCATTCAAGTGTGCAACATATTGAATACACAAAATGGTAGAAAAATTATTCTCGGAGATGTTGAAGAAAAAAAAATGAAGAAATATGAAACTACTTAAATTTTATGCATTTCTTTTACATTTTTCAATTTTAATTTTGATGCCTTATTTTCCATTTCCATAAAACAATTTATGAAAATTATAAATTAAATGTTTTTATTGAGAAAAAAAAATTATTTAAGTTTTATCCGTTTTAAAACCATAATAAAAATAAAAGAGTATCGCATTGCTTAAAATAAAATAGTCAAATAATACTTTTAAATTAAACTTATACCTTTCAAATAGAAAGATAAATATTTCATTTTCCATCGGAAATATAATTCTTAATTATAAATATAATTACATGTTTCAAAACTAAAACTCAAATATAAAATTAAACAATTCATTTTTAACCCATTATAAATTATAAATAATTTAAATAATTCATCTAAATCTCGCGCATTGCACGTGTCTTAATCTAATAATATGTTAAATTAAAAACGCACACTCTAATCCAAACATTTCAACTTTATTTGTTTCACATCATCTATATTTTTATGTAGTATCATCCAAATTCACCTCCACATCTAAAAAAAATAAAATAACCGTGGTAAAGATCACGAGTTCAAATCTTAAAAATCATAAGATTTTGTTTTGTCGGAAATTTTACCTTCAGTTTTGTGCAAATTAATCTCTAAAATTAATTGGTTCTAAGATAAAAGTATAAATTATTAAGAAAATTATTAAAAAAAAGATTTAAAAAAAAAGTACACCTTTATTAATTTAGTACTATTTAAAGAGACACACTTATTAACTTTACATATGTATGCTTAATAGTACTATCTAGGCATACCAAAGAGAGAAAATTTCTCACAATACAAAACTAACAAAAACAACACATAACACAAAGTTTCCTTCTCCAATGACCTCTTAAACTAGCAACCAATCTATAATAAAAATCATAAATTACAAAGTTGAAGTTTCACTCTCTTTAACAAATAGACTCTTATAGTTTTAATTTTGGCCAATAAATATTAAAAAGTCCAAAACCAAAACCATAAAAGGAACATTTGTGAAAGAGTGGTGAAAAGTTAAAAAAAGAGCAATTTATGATTTTAGCTTAATTAAGTCACTTATGAAAGAGCATAGAAAAATCATAATTTGGTGTTCCTACCATAGGAGAATCAATAAAGTCATAGCTGTTATAAGCATCATCATCAGATTGAGAATCAAAGGCTGTTGTTGCTGTTGTTGTGGAGACATTTGCATGCATTGGAACATTATTGGCTACTTCATCATTCACAGGAACTTTGTAGTTAAAGTTGCTATTTGCACCCCTTTGTTGACCATAGAAATTATTGTCCATTTGAGGCTGCATGCTTTGGTTATATCCAGGAGTTGGAATCATGTTCATAACAGGCATTGAACTATTATTTCTCTTGCTGTTTTGGTTGACAGCATGTGTAGGAGGATTCATGTTCACAGCTGGCATAACATTCATGGTGGTGTTCTTCATCTCAAGACCTGAGTTAATGATGTCCATCAAATCAGAAACATCTTCTTCTCCTTCTGTGTAATTAATACCTGTATGTTTATCAAATCTCAGACACATAAAACACTCCGAAACTCTGACGTTAATAAGATAATAAAATATAGGACACTGATACCATTACATATATTATAATATTTGAGGTAATTTTATTAATTTATTGTTAGAAGAGTTAAGTTATTCTAATCAAAATTTATATTTTAAATTTTTTATAGATAATATTTCTTCAATGAATATCAGACGCGTGTGAAATTTGTCAAAAAAATATATAAGATATATTGAAGGGTAAAAAAAATTTGTATGAATGTCATACATGTATTGGAAATCGATTCAACGAGTGTCGAAAGAAGAAAAAAAAAACTATTTTTTTAGGAACACATATATCTGACTTTACCGATATATGTCATGCGGATGTCATACATGTGTCAGATACCGACACGTGTTAGATTCTGCAACGCGCCTACTTAGAGATGTTCAGTGATAACTATGATTACCTCTATGATGATTGATCTGATTTGCCGCAGCAGGTTTGTCATTTTTGACAATCTGACAATTTCTTGAGCCTCCAACTCCAACCATTTGGAAGTGATTGTTGTTGTTGCTTGCAAAATGGTGATTGTTACTTGCATTCTTATCTTCTTGCAAAGAGAAAATCTCATAATTATGAGTAGTACTAGTAGAAGCACTTTTGTTACCAAGTTCACATTTTCTCTTGTTAGAAACCTCAAAAGGTGGCATAACAGAAACATTGGAGGAGGGTGCTGAATTGTTAACCGCACCACCACCTTGATTATGGTATTGGAATTGAAGATTAATAGCACTATAACCCTCATGATTTTCATCAAGTTCCTTAGCTTTTCTCTTATTAGCACCACTTTCATCAAGATTGTTCATTGGAGATACATTGACATTGTTGAAATGTCTTTGAGCTTGGTTCTCTTCTCCACCATTTCCAACAAAAGCACTTCCATCAATACTCTTAAACCCCTCGCGTTGAGGACTAGTTTTCTCAACAAGTTCATCAATCCTAACGCTATTAGCACCATCGCTTGATGACGGAGGTTTTGGAAATGGTAATGGTTTTGCTCGTCTACGCTCCACAATATCCACGTCATAATCGTTGGTCTCGACGAGAAGACAATTACTTCCGGTGCCACAAGAATTAAGAGTTGCGAACAATTCAGGATACTTATTTCTTGCAAGTCTTTCTTCGTAATTAATAACAGCAACCCAAATAGCGGTTTCTTTAGCAGTGAGTTTATCTTGTAAACTCCTCGAATGCCTAACAACATTCTTAATCTTCTGAATATTCGGAGATATATGTTTAATGACAGCATGCAGAACACAAATCTTCCAAGCTTTCTTCAAATCATGCGGCTTTCTATACGGCGGTGGACCGGGATCTTCGCTAAATCCCATTTCGTTCCACCATGATTCTCTCCCGGTTGGCCACCACGGCGGATAAATTCCTCTATCCAACGGAAATCGTCTCTGTGGTGGCTCGCAATGTTGCATTAACGATGATAAAAGCGAACCTAATGTTGTATCAGGTAGTTCCTGCAACGAGCAAGGTATTGCAGAATCACCATTCAACATTTCCTTCATTCTTGATATTCCAATTTCTTCTTCATACTTTGCAATTGCAGCCGGACCGTTTCTGTCGAATTTCACTCTTTCTTTCCACCAACCTCGGAGATTGTCCGAAGAACCGCTCATCGGTTTCCCATTCTCCGGTACTATTCCATAGATGAAGCCGCGTACATCACAAGCTTCCATCATCTTTAACATGTGCCTGTCCATTTTAAGTATCATCTCATTAGTATCTGTAACTGATACTTTCAATATCCTTTTTTCATCGGAAAGATATTGAAAGTATCAGTATATTAATATATTTTTAACTGCAACAATGTAACTTTATAATTTTGTTGCGGTCAGAAAATTCATGTATTAAATAACACAGTAAATTTGTAACTATGCGATAGACTGTATAAACTTTTTTATTTTTTTATCGGAACAAATTCAAAATCCATAGACAAACATCAAACTTATTCGAAAATAATTATAAAATGATCGCTACTAGTAATTATATAGTACCTTAAGATACCGTCTTGCGCCCGCGTCATTGTCTTTCTTTTCAATTGTTCATATGATTTGCATTTGTCACCTTGTCTTCTGTCTTCCTTCATCTTCCTTAGTAGCATTTTATCTCTCCATATTCTTGTCTCAAGATCCTCAATAGTTAACTCTTTTTCTTCATCATCTACTTTTTTTCCCTTTGCTTGTCTTGGATTGTTTGAAGCTTCTCCCTTTGAAGGGAGAGTGACAGCACCATTGCCAACCTTAGGATTCATTGCTTCTATGAAATAATGTACAAAAATAAATATGCATGTCACAAGATAATATCAAATTTTATTAGAGATAAAAACAAAAAATAGTATTCCTTCTATAAGTGTCTTATTTTCAAATAATTGTCTACTTATAATATTATTATAATAGTTTTTTTTTACAAATATTTTTTTATTTATTAACGTTTATTTTATTCTACTACTCAACTAATTATAATTAATAAAGGTACTCTAATAAAGGATATTTCTTTCAATTTTTACTATAAGAAAGAAAATTTATTTTATGAATATATTGAATAATTATTTTGTTTAGTCAATATATAGTCTAGATATATTCATTCTTTAATATATTTGAAAAATAAAGTTTTTATATTATAAAAACTAGAAAAATATATTAATTTTATTGTAAAAATTAACACAGTTAATTATTTTTTAAGACTATGCAATAAGACATTTTTACGAGACGGAGTGAGTATTAAATTTAAAGACTCTTACTCTAAAATTAATTAATTAACAAGTAAAATAATACATTGTCGTAAAAAAGATTAAATTTGTCGACAAAAATATTTATTTTCACCAATAATTTTATTTGTTCTAATGATAAATTTAAAGGAGAATAAAACACATGTTTTTAACCAAAAAAATTATAATCAATATCATATTACTAGTGTAAAATGTGAATAAAAATTCTTAGGATTAGGAGACATAACTCATGTAATTTATTATTCTTAAAAGAAGTAATCATTGTAAGTGATGATTATCAAAAACTCAACAAATAATAATAATAATAATAATAATAATAATAATAATAATAATAATAATAATTTCTCAAATAATAAAACTATATTTGTCAAATAAAATAATAATAGTAATAATAATAATTTATTGAATAATAATAATGTAAATAATTTGTCAAATAAAAATAATAAATTGTCAAACAATAATAATAAAACTAATTTGTCAAATGATAATAATGGTAATGTTAATAATAAAAATTAACTTAAATACACTCTTTTTTAAAAAAAATTACTTTAAAACACTTTCTTCTCATATTTTGCTCACGATTTTAGTTATATTTTCCTTATATAAATGAATAATACACACACAAAAAAATGTAATCCAATTCACGAAGTATATTTCTCCCATAAACTTGGAAGAATATGATTAATTTAAATAAAAGAATCAAAATTATGAAGAAAAAAAAATCATAAGACAAAACAGGCCGAAAAAAATAAAAATATTGTGCGCAAAATTGAATACTTCGAATATTTAAAAGGTGTTTTCTCAATAGTAAACGTGAATAATTCTAAAATTTCACTAATAATTAAAAGAAATTACACTTACATCTATTTCAAACTTATGAACCGATAAACTTCTTCTCGAAGTTTATTTATCGCGCCTGCATTAATAATAATATATTCTAGTTAAAAAAATTCTCTAATAAATAAAATCGATAAACATATCTATCGAAGAAGAACATAAAATTATAAATGAAAATGAGCACAGTTCTAACATTTACTCGTGACGTAAAGTTTAGTAGCATAAAATTATAGGTAGAGCATTCTCAAACTTTTGAAAAACAATAAAAAAAAATTAAGTTAATTTTAACTCCGTAAATTAACTGTGAAATATGTGTGAAAAATTCTTTTTATTATTATTTAATATTAAAATCAGTAATGTGTATCGTCTTGCATAACATCAAAGACAGAGATGACGATTTTGAATATAAAAAAAAGTTAAAAATGTATAAAGAAAAAAATAGATTGAAAAGTATGAGTAAAGAACATACCACAAAGATGGAGGAGATAGATAAATGGTTGAGTTGAGAAAGAGTGACAAGAAAATAAGAATGGAAAATAAAAATGGATAGAAATTGTTGTGAGTGAAGTACCAAAGCTATTCTTAAATACCCAAAATGAAATGCAGGTATGGTAAGTACTTAGATTTTCCTTGTCAATAAAAGATCAGGATGAGTATTTTGATGATTAAAGCTTGACCATTTACTAAAGAATACATTAATAAACTATAATAAAATATTTATTTACTACTTTTTCTTTTTTTATATCAATTTTTTTTAATATTATTACCCATAAATCACTTTTTTATGAATTTTGCAAGAAATTTGGGTAAGAAAATATAATTCATATTAAAAATATTTACCATTATTATTTTTTTGGAAGAATATTTAGCATTATTTTACAGTTGTCTAGTATAAGATTTGAACTCTTTTTTTTAATGTTTTTTAATTATAAAAAAAGAAATATTACTTTTTGATTTGACAGGGTGGAAAGGAAAAAAAATCTAATATAAAGAAAATATTTTTCTATTTTAATTTGTATAATATAAATTTTCTAATGTAAATCTAGAATATACCAGATAATAAAAAAGAAAAAAAGAAACAAAAGTTTAAAAAAAACAAATAATATAAACTTCATTTGATAAATTTTCTATAAATATGGAAATAAAATTAAATAGAAAAGTCAAACTACCGTTAGTAAGAAAATTATTTCAACTATGAAATAAAATTCCTCCCTATAGCTTATACATAAATTTTAATGTAAACAAGAGTTGAAGATTTGTGATTTTAGTATTTTATTTTATTATAATTATTTAATTTTTGAAATTTATTTTGAACAACAAAAATGTTACGAATTCGAACATGCGTTGTTATATTTGATGTGTTTGCATATTTATCAATTGTGTTAGTTTAACAAGACTAATAATTTATTTTAATTTTTAAAAGAAAAAATGTTTGTGTTTTCTAATTTAAATTTTTTACTTATTAAAAGTATAATATGTGTTAATTTTTAGTGATTTCTTTATTAATAAAGTTGAAAATATATATAAAATTAAAAGGAGATATAAAATCTTTAATGATTAAAGATTATCAAAAATTTAAAATTTGTCGTAGAAATTAGAGGACAAAGAAAAACTCGGTATATCCTAAAAATGAACTGACATATTTTAAAGGGCGACGTTAAATTTTATAGGTGTTTCACAAATATATCAATACAAACTTTATTTTATTTATATATATATATATATATATATATATATATATATATATATATATATATATATATATATATATATATATATATATATATATATATATATATATATATATATATATATATATATATATATATATATATATATATATTTGAAATTAACCAACTTGCAACCATATAACAAATACCATATGTTCTTTAAATAAATTATACAATCAAAAGGAAAAAATGCTTTCTATTTATTAAAAAATGAAAAAGAGACTTTTTTTACCAAATAAATGCATATTTATTTTAGGGATTAAATAAATTTTTCAAAATAAATGATTAAAAAATTTTATAAAAAAATATAAAATATAAATTTTAGATTTGTTTTTATAATATGTATCTAAATGTATAATTTGAATAACTTGATTTGAAGTCAGTAAAAATATTTAATTATGTTAAAACATAAAAATTAGTTTTAAAATAATTTTTCAAAAAATAATATTATTCTAATATGATATTCTTTTTTTTTCATTTTTCATTTATTAATAATAATGATTATATTAATACAACATATTTTCTTAATTTATAGTATTTTTTTAATTTATCTAAGAGATGTCATTTTAATAATAAAGTTCTGACTTTGTGCTTTTGTGAAAATGATCTATGAAGCTTGGTGGTATCGCAATCATACTTGCTTTGTAGAAACCATAGGGATAGATATTATTTCTAAAATTATTGACTCTATTAGCAAAGACCCAACCTTAGGAGGCATATTAGCATGTTAACGATGCCTTAAGATTATTTTTGCATCACTCTATGTAACTAATTAATTAGTGAAGAAACCATATTCATTTCTAAAATAACATAAATAAAAGTATAAATCTACAAAAAAAAAATTAAAAATATATAAAAAACAAATCTTAAAATGATTATATTTAAGGTCAACAATACATGAAATAAAATTAACTCTAGAATATAAAAATAGTAATAAATAATTGATATAAAATTAAAATAATCTTGTACCAAAAAAAATTTAAGATAAATAAAAAATTATTATAAAAAAACTAGTAAAGGTAGGAGGGTTGTAGTCCCCAAGAGGGACGAGAGTCATATGTCGCCCTTGATGGGAATCACCTCGCCTTAAGGATATGTTTGGATTGATGGAATGGAATGAGATGAAATAGAATTGTATAAACTTAAGTTCCATTGTTTGGATTAATTAAAAAAGGATGAAATGATAGCAACCGAATGGAATTTATCAAATCTCATTTCATCATTTTTATACCCTCTGATTTAGACAGAATGACAAAATCTCTATATTTCGTCTTCATACCCTAATTTTTGACCCTATTATACCCACATCATTTGCATCTCATACATACACTTTTATGCATCACTAATACATTTTAGAAAGTCAAGATTATTGTTTACTTCATTATGATCACCAATTAGGGTTTTTAAACCCTTCAAAGGATTCAAAAAAAGGATCAATCAAGAATTGACATGATTTTCAACTTATCAAGTCCCTCAATCATCCATGGAGATAAAAAGATCTCATTCATCAAGAATCAAGGACAAGTTTACATCACTTCAAGTTGGTCAAGCCTCAAGATCATACGTGTCACCAAATTAGGGTTTTAACTTAATTCAATCTCTAGAATGACTTATGGAGAAAGACATGATCCAAGACCTGAAGATATGTTTCAAGCACCTCAAATACATCATATTAATTTGTTCAAATGATTGAGTTGATCCAAAGAACTTAATTCATAAACAATGCAAAAATTAAAATCTATTTGAGCCACAAACTAAGGTTTTGGTGAAAAGTCAACCATATATTTGACTTTTGATCAAAGACATGATCTCCAACCTTGAGATATGATTCAAGACACTCAAATATACCCTTAAAGTCCATTCATAAGTTTAAAATCACCTTGGAGTACTCATTCATCAAAAACCAGGAATTAGGTTTTCCCTGCACAAAATTCATCTGATACATAAAGTTAAAGT